TACTGGCAGAGATTACCTCTCCATTGGCCCAGGCAATGGTGCAGCCATGTGGATTGCCAACCCGAATGATCACAACGAGCTTGTGCCAGTCGGCGCTGTAGGCGAGCTGCTCGTTGAGGGCCCGATTGTCGGACAGGGCTACCTGAATGACCCTGAGAAGACTGCTGCTGCTTTCATTAATGATCCACCTTGGTTGATCGCAGGCCATAAAGACTACGCTGGTCGTCAGGGCCGTCTGTACAAGACTGGAGATCTTGGAAGATATGACCCCGACGGTCTTGGTGGTATAGTTTTCGTTGGACGAAAGGATACTCAAGTCAAGCTGCGCGGACAACGTGTCGAATTGGGTGAAATCGAGAGTCAGCTAAAGGCTGTTCTGCCTTCAGAAGCTAATGTTATTGCTGAGGTGATCACACCCAAGGATTATGGAGGCCAGCCAATGCTTGTCGCATTCGTTGCTTTCCAACCAAAGGGACATGGACAGGCCGAGCTTGCCTTGGACGAGATCTCAAGCGAGTTGAGCAGCATATTGACAAAGGCCAATGCGGACGTGGCGAAGACTCTGCCGCGATACATGGTGCCGACCACATATATCCCGGTTAATCTTATGCCAGTGTTGATTTCAGGCAAGACTGATCGCAAACAACTCCGAGCATTTGGTGCGACAGTTGATTTGCGCCAGCTGGACCAAGGAGCCGCAAGCACGGCTTCTCGGGAACTGAATGAGCTTGAAAAACGCCTGCGACAGGCCTGGGCCGAGACACTCAAACTCAAGGCAGAAGCCATTCGTCCCGATGACAACTTCTTTGCGCTGGGTGGTGACTCCTTGGCAGCGATGAGACTCGTGTCTGTCTGCAGAGCGCAAGACCTCGACCTTTCTGTCATCAGCACTTTCGGAAACCCTACCCTCTCGGCGATGGCCACCGTCGTTCAGCCTTGCAGCTCTCAAGTACAAGAAGAGATCCCGGCATTTTCTTTGATCTTCCAATCTGTCGAGAGCGCCCGCCTCGAAGCAGCACAAGCTTGTGGAGTGGATCAAGCAGATGTGCAAGATATCTACCTTTGCACACCCACACAGGAGTCATTGTTCACCTTCTCGCTCAAATCGACAAAGGCGTACGTCGCTCAAAGAGTCGCATGTATTCCATCGCATATCGGCCTGGATGTTTGGAAGAAGGCTTGGGAAGAGGTCGTTGCAGCAAGCCCTATCCTGCGATCTCGTCTGGCACCGCTCCAAGACCCAGGCCTTCAGCAAATTGTTGTGAAGGAAGGCGTCTCCTGGAGGTACTCCACTGACCTGGACCAATATCTCGAGAATGACCGGAGCGAGAGGATGAACCTCGGACAAAGTCTGGCTCGATACGGCCTTGTCAGCAATCCAAATGAAGACAAGCGGTATATGGTCTGGACTGTCCACCACGTTCTCTACGACGGATGGTCAGAGCCAATCGTTCTCAAGCAAGTCAGCGATGCTCTGCAAAACCAGTCTGTCGAGATCCAGACACAGATGCGGAACTTTGTCAAGTATGTACGCGATACAGACGAGACCGCCATGCATGACTTCTGGCGACGGGAGTTGAAAGGTGCTGTCGGCCCTCAATTCCCCCGCCTGCCCTCTCGCGACTTCATGCCAACCCCCAATGGCCTGATCGAGCATCAGATTGCCCTGGAGACAAGTGCCGGATCACCTTTCACGATGGCTACATTGGTCCGCGGTGCATGGGCCCTCGTCGCATCCCAATACACCGGAAGCGACGATGTCGTGTTTGGTGAGACACTCACTGGTCGTGACATTTCCCTGCCGGGCGTGGAAAGCATCGTCGGACCACTGATCGCAACAATTCCCATCCGCATCCAGGTCCGCCGATCCAGCTCAGTCGAATCCTACTTGCAGACGGTACAGCAAAGCATCTTGGCTCGTACACCCTACCAGCACATGGGAATGCAGAACATCAGAAAGGTCAGCCAAGATGCGCAGTATGCATGCGAAGCCGGCACCGGACTAGTCATCCAGCCGGACCCCGAGTACGTGGGTAGCGAACTTGGATTTGAGCTTGGAGATGTTGTCCGTGAGGCGCTTCATTTCAACCCGTACCCGCTCATGGTTGCCTTTGGAATCCGCAAGGGTGGTCTCAGAGTTTGCGCCAGTTTCGACAGCAGCCTGATCGAGGGTTCGCAAATGCAACGGATCCTTGCACAGCTGGAAACCGCTTGCGTGCAGTTGTCCAAGGGTCTTGATAAGCGAATTGATGAGATCTCTTGCCTTCCCGAGACAGAAGTGAACCAAATCTGGCAATGGAACCAGGCTCCTCCTCTTTCCGTGGATGAAGCCTCTGGCAACCTTCGCGCCCATGCGAGCACTAAGCAAGGAGCAGTCTACCCTCGTGCTGTGATTCCTTGGGTGTGTGATGCTCGTAACCCGGATTTGTTGTCGCCAATCGGCAGTGTTGGTGAGCTTTGGCTTGAGGGAGCTTGTCTCTCTGGGGAAATAGTCGAGTCCCCTGCCTGGCTCGTGGCCGGAAGCTCTGGATACGCTGGCCGATCAGGGAAGGTGCAGCCTACAGGTGACATGGTCCAGCTTCAGGACGATGGAAGTCTCGTATTTATTGGTCGCAAGGAGAATGTCGTACCTCTTCAAGGACATGCAGTGGATATTGCAGACCTTGAGTCGCATTTCGCAAAACACCTCCCATCAGCAACTCGCGCTGCTGCATCTGTGTTCCAGCCATTGAGAGAAGGCACTCAGAAAGTGACAGAGCAAGAGCTGGCTGTCTTCATCGAGAACCAGCCTCCTCAGGAGGACAGTGTAAGAGTCATGCCGGCGAAATACGAGATGGTTGGCGACCAGACGACTGTCTGCGACACTATTTCCGTCACGCTTGCTGTGTCATTGAAGAAGCTTGACAAATTTATCCGAGACTCACTGCCATCCTACATGGCCCCCTCTGCATACGTTGTGGTTGACAAATTGCCTGCTGGACTGGAGCAACTCGATCACACGTCACTCAACCAATTGGCCTCGAAGATACCTCAAAGCGTTCTCGAACAGCTTCGTGAAGGCTTCAAAGAGGCATGGACGAAGGGCTTGGCGCAGACAAACCTATCGCCAACAGAGAAGATCCTGCAATCCGCTTGGGCGAAGATCCTCCAAATGAGCCCAGAGCAGATCGACGTCGACGATAACTTCTTCCGCCTCGGAGGTGACTCTGTCTTGGCAATGAAGTTGGTGTCAAGTCTCCGCATACAGGGACACAGCTTGTCAGTGGCTGATATCTTCCAACACATGCGTCTTTGTGATGCAGCCAAGGTGCTAAAGGTGGACCAAGTGAAGGAAAGCGCTCAGCCATACAAGCCTTTCTCCGCGCTGAACAATCTGGATATCAAGATGTTCTTGGCCTCAACTGTCCGTCCCAAGCTTGCCAACCCAGGCTGGCCCATCGAGGATGTGTCTCCGATCACAGATTCGCAAGCGCTCGACATCAGAGGAACCATTGGGGCGCCACGCACTTCCATCCAATACACCATGCTATACTTCGACCAAAATATCAATCGTGAGCAATTGCTACGCACCTGCAATGACCTGGTCAAGACCCACGATATTCTGCGCACTGTCTTCATTGAGCATGAATCGTCCTTCCTTCAAGTTGTCCTCCAAGACGCACATGTCCCCGTGGTCATGCACGAGGCTGACAAGGAGATTGAGCAATACGTCACCGAGCTCTGCACAGCAGACATCGAGTCAAACTTCGAGCTTGGATCGCCGTTCCTCAAGGTTTTCCATGTTCAAGCCACCGACGGAAAGCACTGCCTCGTGCTAGGCCTTTCGCACGCCCAGTATGATGGTATCTCACTCCCCAGACTGCTCCAAGACTTGGAGACCCTGTACGTCGGAGACAAGGTTGTGGACTTTGAACCATTCGCCTCGTACATGGCACGGGTTTCCGATGGACGTCTCCAAACCCAGGCAGTCAGCTACTGGGGCGATCTGCTCAAGGGCTCGACACTGTCAGTCCTCGACGGCGCCTCGATCCAGCCCACAGACAAAGCCATCTTCCACGAGAAGGCGGTCGAAGAGTTCCAGCCCGTCCAGGAGATCACGACGGCAAACGTTCTCACCGCAGCATGGGCACTGGTACTCGCCCGTCGTCTGGGCAAACCTGACGTGACCTTCGGCACAGTGACCTCAGGCCGAACTATCGACCTAGCAAACGTGGAGAACGTCATGGGTCCATGCTACCAACTCACTCCTGTCAGAGTGAAGTTCGAGTCACAGTGGACCGCGATGGATCTACTGCGCTTTGTGCAGAAGCAGAGCGCCGAATCTGCGGCGCACGATTTCCTCGGATTCGAGAAGATCTCAAAGCAGTGCGCGCAGTGGTCACCGGAGGCGCAATCATTTGACTCGATTGTCCATCACCAGGACTGGGATGATTTCGATGATATGCCATTCGCTGGAGCTTCTTGCAAGATTGATATTTCAAACCCACATGGCGATGCTGCTTATCCCTTGAAGGCTGTCTCGTTTGTGCGTGGTGGGAAGATGCATGTTGGATTTGTTGGAAGTGAAAGGGACGCGACGTTTGTGGATGCCACTCTTGATGAGTTGGCTGCTGCTGTTCAGGAATTGTCGGGTTGTCGCTCTGATCCCCTGGTGCTTGGTGCCTGAATATGATATATGATATTTTTATAAAGCAGATAGATTGGAGATGGTTTGGAATTTGATTGGCATTGTTTTTGTTATATTCCATAATATGTCTTTTCTATAGAACTAAAGTGCTTGAATACTCAACTCCTGGGTCTATGACTTCATATAGTGCCCTTAATATTTTTCATTTGAATGCGAAAAGATGCCAGCAATGTCTACCGGTACTAGTGACGTTGAAAGGACGTACTTCTGTAAAAGCCAAATTTATAGGATCGCATAAGAAAACTGGTCGAAAAAATAAGAAAATGGGATATATATTAAACAGTACTAGAAATTTAAATCGAATCTATAACTTTCAAGTCGCCACTGTCTGGTGCATGACATTTGCTCGGTAACTGTCGGACCGCTCGAGCAACTCATCATGAGATCCAGAATCAGTGCACACACCACCATCGATCAAGAAAATGATATCGGCTTTTCGGATAGTGTGAAGACGGTGAGCAATGGCAATGACAGTGATTCCCCGTGCGGCCTTTTCCAAACCATCCTGCAAGAGCTTCTCGGATTCAGCGTCCAAAGCACTGGTCGATTCATCAAGAATGAGAAGCTTGGGTTTGCGAACGAGAGCACGAGCGATGGACAATCTCTGCTTCTGGCCTCCAGAGAACTGGTTACCACTCGGACCACAGAGAGTCTGGTAGCCATCGGGCAATGAAGTGATAACATCGTGGATGTTTGCGAGCTTGCAAGCCTCTTGGATTTCTTCAAGTGTCACATTGTGGCCCGGTCGGGCACCGAGACCAACATTGAATTCGATGCTTCCCTCGAAGAGGACGCTGTCTTGGGGCACCAGGGAAATCCAGTCACGGAAGGTGACATCCGAGGTCTTGGTCACGTCAACACCGTCGATCACGATAGAGCCAGATTCAGGTGTGTACAGACGTTCGACCAGGGAGATGATAGTCGATTTACCGGCACCACTGGGTCCAACTAGGGCACAGAACTTGCCGGGGCGAATATCAACATTCAGGCCCTTCAGCACCTTCATGTCCGGCCGGGCAGGGTAGCAGAAGTGGACATCACGGAGCTGCACACTCGAGGCCGAGCTGCCAGAGTTGTAGGTGGGTTTCTCTTCAATTGCCTCGACATCCTTGTTGTTGGGTGGTGTGAGGCGGGCATCCATCTTGTCCTTGCCGATCTCGATCAGGCCAAGGATTCTGGACATTGCCGATCGCGCAGCAGAAAGCTCGGGCGCGAGCGCGAACATCTGACTCCAAAGCAGGGCACTGACCAGGAGAGAGAAGACAACAATCAGGAACTGGGTCTGAGTGTAGTTGCCGTTGATGATCTGCTTGGAACCCCACCAGTATGCCAGAGCATTCACCATGTTACCTAGGAAGTAGGTCATGGCTTGCCACAAGCTTGCCTGCACCGTAACCTTGAATGTCTCCTTGCGGGGTCCTTTGAGGGATCGTCGGTAGGTCTTCAGAGTGTTTTCTTCAAGGGAAAGAGAGGCGATTGTCTTGATAGAGGTAACTGCTTCCACGCCGATGTCGACAGACTTAGTGTAGGCGTTTTCATGACGCTCCTCGAATTTGCCGAGGACCATCAGCTCCATTAGACCAGCTCCGAGCAGAAGGGGAACAAGGGCAAGGCAAACCAAGGCAATTCTCCAGGCAATAATGTGGGTCAGAATAATGGCAGCGACGAGGTTAACGCTGATAGAGAAGAGGGTGCCAATGACAGATCCGCTCATACCGGCAAGGGCATTACCATCTCGGGTGATATAGGACAGAAGTAGGGCAGGCGATCGGCCCTTAGACTGATGCCACTGGAGATCTTGTTCAAACAGTGACCGGAATGACAGGACTCGCACTTTGTAGACTATCTTCTCGGAGACAAGGCCGAATCCTCCCCAGCTGACGATGTTTGCAAAGAACTCGATAATCGCAAGAACGAAGAACATCAGACCGTAGAAGTTACCCCGGTCGCTGATACTGGCTGCACTATGACAAGGGTTCAAACTTCCGACCGTGTTTCCGAAAATAACGGCTTCGCCAGAGAAGGCTCCGCCGACCATGCTGGAACCGAAAAGAGCAGCGAAAATGACGAGCAAATGGGGCTTGAGAGCTGGTGCATAGCCCTTGCAAAGAGCCCACACTGATTTGACCGGGGTCTCAAGCTCTTCCTCTTCCTCCTCGTCGGAGTCTCCAGCTGGTGCTTCGGTGGTTGAGACACGGGTTTGCTTTGTGGGCTCCAGGTCATTTGAAAGACTTCCCTTCTCATTTCCGACGTCGGTAATAGAGGTAGTATCGGACTTGCTGACGCTCTCAATGCTGGCAGTGGTGTCAGTCTTGTTGGATGCGGATGAGGCTCCGAGAGTCTGCAATTTGACCAGCTCAGAGTAAGGTCCATTCCCAGCCATCAACTCCGCGTGGCTTCCCTCCTCCAAGATATCTCCCTTGTGCATACAGACAATCTTATCAGCGTTTGTGATAGTTGACAGACGATGAGCAATCGTGATGACAGTTCGACCAGTTGAAATGTTGTTGATAGCCCGCTGGATACGCTGTTCACTTCGTGAATCCAGAGCAGCGGTGGCTTCGTCCAAAATGAGCACGGCAGGATCTTTGACAAGGGCACGGGCAAGAGAGACTCGTTGCTTCTGACCACCACTGATGAGTCGACCACTAGAGCCAACCATCGTGGCGTACCCATACTGCAATGCTTCGATAAAGCCATCCGCATCGGCAAGCGCAGCAGCCTGGCGGGCCAATTGAACGATTTCGACGATTTCTGGGCCCCGTCTCTCTGCTGCGGTCATAAGATCCTGACCATCCCTGACTTCAGTGGCTAGATCAGAGAGGTCGGTTCCGAGGAGTGCTGTTTTCAGGTGTGCATGGGCTGGTTTGCTTGAGTTCACCAAGCCGTGTGCGATGTTCTCCAAAAGGGATCGGTCGAGAAGGGAGGGCTCCTGCTGCACAAGACTGAGGAATCCTCTCAGGTCACGGGTATTGACATCGCGGATATTCTGGCCATCGAAAGTGATCTCACCTTCTGTGGCATCATACAAGCGGATAACCAAACCTGCGATAGTGGACTTTCCACTTCCAGAAAGGCCAACAATGGCTGTGTGCTTCTTGGGAGCAATGGAGAGATTGATCTTGTTAAGAACAGTGATCTCGGGCCTGGAGGGGTAAATGAAAGAGACATCCTTGAATTCAAATCCGCCCTCCGCCTGGGTGAGGCGAATGCCCGCGTCAGAGTATCCATCAATCAAGGATACACGCTCAATATCGTCACGCAGCTTGTGGTAACAAGCAACAGCCTGTGTAAACAAGTGGATGAACGGCGCAACTTGACTCAGAAGAAGGGTAGCTGTCGTTAATGTTAGTAAAATATTCCACATCAAGATATCTATTAAGCTGACCTTCAACCAAGACAAAGATAACCGTGAAAACAGATCCGACAGTGGCACCCGCCGACTCAGTACGTACTGCCGCGGCGATCTGCTTACTTCCTTGCCAGAATGCAAGACCATTCGCTCCATATGCGACGAAATACAAGACACCAGCTTGAATACCAGTGGCAGTGGCCTTTTTCAATCCTTCGGTTTCCGAGTCCTTCAGTGCCTTAGAGAACTTCTCCTCCAGACGACCGTTCGCACCAAAAGCGTGCACCACAATAATGTTGTTAAGCGCTTCGGAAGCAATCGACGCAGCGGATGCAGCATAATCCGACATGCGCCCGGTGTATTTCTCGATATAATAACTTCCAACAAATGACATGATGAAGTATGCGGGGATCAAGGAAAGCAGCATCGCGGCAAGAATGGAGTCTTTGATAAATGCAACAATGTATGCGGTGACGAAAAAGGAGAAACTCGAGATACAGATTCCGACCTTCTCAGCTGTACCGGAGCGAATTGTTTGGATATCAGTGTTGAGTCGAGAGGCAACTTCTCCGGCGGGCAGGTTATCAAAAAAAGATGGTTCTTGTCGGAGCAGGTTCTGGAGATATCTTTCGCGGAGTCGCTGCGCCAGGCGCGCACCGGTCATCGTCCAGCATAGTAGGTGAAGGTAGATTAAAACGAATTGAGCAATGCCCAGGTACACGATCAGCAGAATTTTGCCATTGATGTCTGATTGATCGCTGGAGTCACCTCCCGAGGAGCTGGCGGTTTCCTCGCAGGTCACAGCGTTGAAATCATCGATCAGTTGGCCGAAAATGATACCAATGATGGGGAAAGGGACACCCGATCCAATTGCAGACGCCAGGCCAACAAAGAGGGTTCCCAATTCTAGTCGCGAGGGATTGGCAGCCACAAGCAGCCTTGGGTAGTCTGCAAGGTTCCCGAAACCCATGGTGACTGGAGAATGGCGTTCAACACTGGGATTGTCGTTTGAGTGTTGAAGAAGCTAGGTTCTCACAAGCGATCAATTTATCGCTTTGCTAGTTGAAAAGTGGCGTCACCATGAAAATTGCACCCACTCCTTAGCGTGAATCCATTCGGTGAAGCGACTTTAGCTTGGGTTACGACGAAGACCCAAAGAAAGATGTATGCCAAGTGTGAAGATGGAAATTTCCAGGGGATTTCCGGATGTTTAACGTGCCGATCTGATTTTTCAATCAGCCGACATCGGTTTTGACAGTCGGATCCAAAGATGCAGCCCACTAAGGGGCATGAAGAATTTCAATTATACGGACGGGGGTTATCAGATCAAAATGGATCCTGTGTACCGTAGTTCCCCACTACCGTCCATACGTGTATGTCTGGGTGGATATGGCTGTATTGAGTATGTTATTTCCAAAGGTCTGTATTTTATTTCCGTATAATACTATACTAGTATGTACTATGTACGTTGTGTATTTAAAAATGCGGAAATTTCGCACTCTTTCTTTGATTTTGCTGCACATCGGTGTGGTTGTGGTGGATAGATGGCGTCTCCGAACTCTCTCTTAGAGGCTACTAAGTTTATAGGTATGTGCTATTGATCAGTATTTTGTTTTGATATTTCGCAGCGCTATGCATATTGGTTGATATCTTGCATATTAAATGCCCGAAAAGAATACATAATTATACAAGAATATATGTACATGTGTAGCATACACAATATCATTATTATTACACCACAACGATAATTGAGGGTAAATTAGCTGCTGAAAATGGCTACCTTCGCTGGTTTAAGCTCCACTTTTACCAAAACCTTAGTCATTACAACGTCACGTGCATCCACCTTGGAACCTTTCAAGGTTGGAATACTTTTGATCACTGAGCACTCAGGGCTGCTCAGTGAAAGGTTGACTCACCCTTAACTCAATATGCCTAGCGCAATGGATCAGGCATGATGTGTGTGTTCAGTATCCTTCAAGTCTGTTTGTAGCCACTCTAGACAAAAGTGATAAAATCATCTGTTTTGCGGAGCCATCAAGACCAATGTTTAAATGGTCCTTCTCCCTCCCTATCAACTGTAGCCTTTCTATACTCCAACTTACCAGCAACAGTTTTTTCTACATTATATCTCTCTAACCTTTCTCCTGGGCAACTATCATTATCGCTATACTAGCCAGCAGCCTAGATATACACAAGAAGTGGTGGTTATAGCGTCAGCTCTATCGTAGAGCGGTAGGGCGTGGCCTCCATGTGAAAAGTTGCTAGAATATCAATCGCATAGGTTTTCCTTACTCTCTACTCTCTTTATTTTCTGACAGAAGGGTGATGGTACATAAACAAAGATCTGGTTAAACGATTCAATTTTGATAGGTCTGTTTGTCATGGCCATAATATATGGCCATACATTTGCCCTCGCTGGTCTGCCCATTCTCTTAGTGCAGTGAAATTTCTGCATGTGTGTTTCTGTTCTGTTTGCCCCAGGAGAAGCAGATGAGTATGATTCTTGCCTTCCCATACCGGCCGCAACGTAACCGGGGTCAAATCTCCAGAGCACATTATAGACTGACGAAGCTGGTCTATACAATGATCTGCAAATATTGTGGTCAGCCAATATGGAATATGGCTCGGTTTGCAGAATTGGGAACATACCGAGGTGCAATTGCTTATAGTGAGCCGATAAGTGCACGTCTAGGTCATCGACCGAGTTGAGGTGTTTCCTCAATACATTAACACAGTGGAGTGAATGCATCACATCAATGCCGCCATAAACACCGGAAGATGTTATCATGTGCTTTCTCGCCACAACTGGCTCCAGAGGATGATCATAGGCACTTCCGTTGAGTTTCACGATCTCGGATTCCATTAAGCGGACGTAACGCCCACTGATAAGCTTGTCCCAGGCTTTCTCAATTTCCTCTGACGGTGCGCCAGTGTAGGTCTGGTCGTCAGGATTGCTGAATTTGTAAAGCATGCCATTTTCGTCCGCTCTGAGGGAGTTGGTAAAGCGCGTCTGTTCGAGTGAGATCCATGGCTTTGCATCGTCTAGGTCGGTTGCAAATCCGATTTCGCATGCCGTCCAATTTGGGAGGCTTTTTAGAACCCAGAAGGTAAAGCAGGTCTGGATAAATAACAGCAGCGCAAGGCAGTAGACGGCCCCTCTCCAGTACTTGATTTTTGCTTCCGCTGCCTTGTTATTGTAAACTGACTCCGCTCGCTCCCCAGTAGTCAAAAGTTCAATCTCCTCCTCCTCCCTCAAGTCCAAGTTTGCATCTTGGCCAGGGCATTTTTCGCCAGCGGATTCACGAGCTGACGAGGAATGAGTTCGCATTGATAGGTTTCCCGAACAGATGACGAATTGGAAACCTAAAGCAATATTCCTCGATGGAAAGTTAAACTCGGATGGATATGAAGGCAGAGCTTGGAAAAACCTTGGAATGACCGATCATCTCAAATGGGAAGCGGCAATAGGGTCACCTGAAAAACGGGGTAATGCTGGTCCTTGCAACAGGATCGCATTTTCGTGCATGTTAGTTTTGTCGACCAGAATAGGTATAGTGGAGTTTTGTACTACAAGCATCAAATAATGACGCATGAAAACCGAGATGACGATCTGCGAATCTCAGCTGAGCCGATCTCAGCCGAGCAACTTATGTGTTGTGCAACATAAATGTGCGTTCCGCTAGTTGCCTTCTCCTACTACGGAGTAGCTTTGCATGATATGTGACCCTCTTACCGCTTACTTGGTGTTTTGCCCCTTTCTGACCCCGTCGCCCTTTTTGTGGCTTGCGTTATTAGGTTTTAGCTCCCGTTCCGTGCCGTGGTGTCCCTCGCTACGGAGTAGTTAAAGAAGGCGCGCTTGGTCTCGCGCGATATCTCACAACGGTACCCACTGTCGATCGCCCCAAAATTGCCAAGAGTCCTACTAAAAGTTTATAGTCTATCTGGAATGCACTGGATGAAAAATACGTACATAGGTCACCTGGGAGCTTTCTTAATAGAACATGACAAGCAGACAGGCTTTCCGAGCTTCTTAATACAATATGAAACGCAAACAGAATTAAATAGTAGGATAGAGAAGCAGTGAACATTTTGAATACAACTCCGGGGGTTCCACTCTACAGATCACTCTACAGATCAACTTGGGTTGGATTGTTGGACGCAGGGGGCGATCGGGGTGATCAGTTACCCGGTCCAATCAGCAGAATTCGGAAGGGGTAACAAGTCAACATTAATAATATTCTAATAATATGAGTTGGCCGTAGGAAAAATTGGGGGGAAAATTATATCAATGCTGTTCTTCTCCGCCAGTAATCTCTAGATTGTACAGACGAACGACCAACAGCTACCAGATTTTACCCAGTTTACTGTATATCTCCTTCGACCCTTTCACCGGAACACTATATCCGCTGATACAACTACAGCCAAAACCACCTCAGCTATGCGTCTAATTGCTTTTGCTTGTGCTTTCATTATCGGTGTCGCGATGGCCGCTCCAGCCGGACTAGTCGTGCGTCAGGTACGAGACCCCAGTGGTAGTTCTTATGTGTGATCATAGATAGGACTAACTGCAATCTATAATGGATAGGATGTGAGTGATAACCTTTAATTCGAACAATATTGCTCTATTGAAACAGGACTGACCGCAATCCCTAATGGATAGGATGTGAGTGATACCCTTGGATCTAAATCAGATTGCTTGAGAACTAACTATAATATTTAATGGAATAGGATGTGAGTGATAACCTTGATTCGAAGAACCTTGCTCTATTGAAATAGCACTGACCGCAATCCGTAATGGATAGGCTGTGAGTGATAACCTTTGATTCGAAGAACCTTGCTCTATTGAAACAGCACTGACCGCAACCACTAATGGATAGGATGTGAGTAATAACCCTTGTTTGAACGAGATAATTGGATAGAGGTGGGACTAACTGCAATGTTTAATGGATAGATTGTGAGTGATAACCTTCGATTCGAATAATATTGTTAGATTGAAACAGGACTAACTAGCATGCTTTGAATAGCTTGTGAGTGATAACCCTTTGTATGAATTTCGATGGCTGGCTACAGACAGGACTGACCTATGTCATCTATTTCAAGGCTGTAAGTGAGCGGAAAGAGCAATGACGATTCTTGGTGCTGAATTGCTAATTTGCGGCGCAAGTGAGATATCCGTGGATTGGTATAGGAGGAAGAGGTTGTCAATATATTGCTCCTCACAAGCTTCATTGATTTCTGCCTTATTATGGGTTTTCCCTATTGCAGTTAGGTTTCCCCAGAATTTAATGCAAATGCAAAGGTACTTTAATCAGTGGTTATAAATTCCCATTTATGCTCAGCTGCCCTTGTAGACATAGAATAGTGCGCCGCTTTTACGTAGATGTATTTCCTGGCCCACGGGTAATCGCCAATAGAAAGATTGTCAATGATGAGACTAAAAGTAAACACAAAGCTAAACAAGATTAACAGGGAATCAATTGCTGATATCCCTACCGCATCAGTCGCCAAAGACTTCAAAGTTGGGATATTATATTAACCTGTTCAGTTTTTTCCTTTTCTCCAAGATACTGACAACATGGTGCTTTTCCGATCAACTTAGACTTCATGATTTATATACTCGTGCATTGTTTTTAATTGTGCTACAGGAGAGATACCCTAGTCCTCGAACCTATGTGGAGGTGCATCTCGCAGATACCCATGTGTTGCCACCGTGCGACTTCTAGATTCAATGCAGAATGTATTTATGAGCTGGGATAATGACCCACCTCTGTTAAGGCCTGCTGGGGACTGGTTGCCGCTCTCGCTGTTAGGCTGCCTTCGATAACAATGACTCCGAATATATGAAGGGTTTGAGTATTTTGAACAAGAAAGGTTGGTCTTGCTCCACTTAGTCCAGGTGACTGTTTAAAATAGCCGGATTTCTGTATATTGGTATTATCTGCCGAGAACCCCATTGGATGCAGCACTGGACCCAATCATTGCTCTGCTGCATCAATGATCTTCGAAGAAATAGGATATAGATGATCTCTAACCCGAGTGACGGGGAGAATAATATGCGTGTGACCTAAGGGTATCCGGTATCCTTGCATGTAACTATAGGCTTCGAGTTGAGGTATCAGCTCGTAAGGAGGTCAATTATAAGTTCGAGGAAGCGAATAAAATAACTATGTTTTCGTATTCTATACGGGCAAGTCCAAAACACTAACACCAACACCAAGCTAGCCCAACATAGGTACCAGCAGACCCCTGTCTTCAGGTTATGAATCGTTTGGTATGGAATGTAGATCTGAAAACATGCTCCGACAAGGGCTCAAATATGGCGTGGGGCTGTTGTCATTTTTTCAAAAGCCCTGGCTAGCGCTGAAGCAAATATAGCCGGTTCCGCTTCATATCCCAGGTGATGTCCGGGGAATAAGAAGCGAGGACATTTGAGAATCTCGGACTGGGGAACAGTCGTTCGCGCATAAAATGTATCGGCACTTTTGTCACCAGCCACAACAGCAATCGAGACTTTATTATCGAGAATCTTATTGAGATCTGGACAGTAGATAGTGAACTATAGAAACTCATTCTCTCAAAAGCTTGTGCCATCCTCGTGAGAAGGCGCCGCAAGTGGGGGGCTGTTCTCGAAGCCCTTCATTTCCATGCGAAATACTTTGTACTTCAAAGGCAGCTTCGACGCGGTGCGCCTGATAAACATTCGATCGACGGGAAAATCGCGAGCACTATGGCGCCGTGGGAATACGTTATCTTTGGATCTGGACTCCTAGGAACACTAGTAGTAGCCCGGCTACTATCGGAGCGGGCAAAAAGCTAGAAAGTAAGACGAGAAGGGAAGGGACTGATCAGGGGAGAGCGATGGGTTGAGCGATCAGGTCAGTGAGCAGCTCAGGCTCAGTGGATGGCTTAGGGCGGCGGGTTGACTAACTCATCCTGTAATCTGCCCAGGTGGGAGTCCATCGTAATCCGAAGCAATGTTACCGTTAATATTACATAGTATTACACACAAAGACTGGAAAAAAGCCAAGCGGATCCCGTCACAACATGTAATTTAAAAAATAAAAACCTCCGAAAGATTATCTGATTGATTGGGGCAAGGCGGAGTAGACAACGCGTTGCTGGAAAAACTGCCCCAACAAGGAAGGTGGAGCAACACGAGCTACCCCCACTTGTCTCGGGATGATGACGGCAAATGAAAAAAAAATATGTCATGAAATTTTGTACATTGTATATTGTAAGTTTTGCCGATCAGAGTCAAGAAAGAGCCAAGAAAGGTAAAGCAAATTTACAGTTTGGCATTCCAGGCGGCGCGATCAGCAGATTCCAGAGGCCGCTCGCGCCCGTCCCAGAATAGGGGACACAACTGGAACCACTTCTCGCGGCTGCAGATCGAGTGCACCGACCGCTTATGTCCGAGATCGACGTACTTGCCAATTGTGAGTCCCTGTGCGTTCTCGTAGGACAAGATGGTCGCGCCAGTAGCCTTGGGCTCGCCGACAGCATTGGCGGTCCGGGGATCGTCCAAGAAGACATAGTGGATGCAGCTCGAGTACCAGGCATTCACGCGATGTGCACCTCGGAAGCTGGCATCGCCGACGAGAGAGTGACGGCCGCGATCATAGTCTCCAGCATCGTAGTGGGCGCCGTAGTGATCCTCCTGTGGACAAGGTGTTAGTGTCAATGCCAGACTAAAGGGCAACTGAGTCGGGAAATTTACCTTTGACCAGTACAACTCATAGTACGAGAAGCGGGTATCGTCGAAGCGTCCGAACAAGCACAGCACATGGGGATCGAAGTGCAGCTTGCGCAGATATTCGGTGTGCTGTTCGATAGTTCCAGTCTCATTCCAGCCTGCGGCAACACGCGGGTCATTTTGCCACTTGTTAAACAGCTGGACGTGCTCGGCACTTTGCCAGTCAACGACTTCGAGTGAGAAGTGCTCGTTAATCTCTGGAATGTAGCGACTGTATGCAATGGACCCGGGGTGCGGCTTGGGGCGGCGAGTCGGGTGGCGGGTATATACAGGCTCCTCGGGGAACTTGTTTGTCATTTGGTAGTTCTCCGGCATGATGGGATACTGAGACAAAGGCTCCCGCATGGGGCCGTCTGTGCCATCTCCCACCACCCAGATGGGCCGAGGGCCCAATGGAGAAGCAGCACCTTGCCAGAAGGCGCTTCGGAGGATCAGCAAATCATCAAATTGCAGAGCCTTGTTTTCTCTGTCCCGCAGGTTCCTTGGGTGATTGATTGCCAATCCGGTGGTAAGAAGCTCATTGTGGATGACTTCCTGCCCTGCACCAGACAGAGTCAGTCTGAAATACTCGATTG